GAGTACTTGTGGCACCTTAGAGACTAACCAATTTATTTGAGCATGAGCTTTCGTGAGCCACAGCTCACTTCATCAGATGTATACCGTGGAAACTGCAGCAGACTTTATATACACACAGAAAATATGAAACAATACCTCCTCCCACCCCACTGTCCTGCTGGTAATAGCTTATCTAAAGTGATCAACAGGTGGGCCATTTCCAGCACAAATCCAGGTTTTCTCACCCTCCACCCCCCCACACAAATTCACTCTCCTGCTGGTGCTAGCCCATCCAAAGTGACAACTCTTTACATAATCAAGTCGGGCTATTTCCTGCATAGATCCAGGTTTTCTCACATCCCCCCCCCCCCCCCCCCCATACACACACAAACTCACTCTCCTGCTGGTAATAGCTCATCTAAACTGACCACTCTCCAAGTTTAAATCCAAGTTAAACCAGAACATCGGGGGGGGGGGTAGGAAAAAACAAGAGGAAACAGGCTACCTTGCATAATGACTTAGCCACTCCCAGTCTCTATTTAAGCCTAAATTAATAGTATCCAATTTGCAAATGAATTCCAATTCAGCAGTTTCTCGCTGGAGTCTGGATTTGAAGTTTTTTTGTTTTAAGATAGCGACCTTCATGTCTGTGATTGCGTGACCAGAGAGATTGAAGTGTTCTCCGACTGGTTTATGAATGTTATAATTCTTGACATCTGATTTGTGTCCATTTATTCTTTTACGTAGAGACTGTCCAGTTTGACCAATGTACATGGCAGAGGGGCATTGCTGGCACATGATGGCATATATCACATTGGTGGATGTGCAGGTGAACGAGCCTCTGATAGTGTGGCTGATGTTATTAGGCCCTGTGATGGTGTCCCCTGAATAGATATGTGGGCACAATTGGCAACGGGCTTTGTTGCAAGGATAAGTTCCTGGGTTAGTGGTTCTGTTGTGTGGTATGTGGTTGTTGGTGAGTATTTGCTTCAGGTTGCGGGGCTGTCTGTAGGCAAGGACTGGCCTGTCTCCCAAGACTTGTGAGAGTGTTGGGTCATCCTTTAGGATAGGTTGTAGATCCTTAATAATGCGTTGGAGGGGTTTTAGTTGGGGGCTGAAGGTGACCGCTAGTGGCGTTCTGTTATTTTCTTTGTTAGGCCTGTCCTGTAGTAGGTAACTTCTGGGAACTCTTCTGGCTCTATCAATCTGTTTCTTTACTTCTGCAGGTGGGTATTGTAGTTGTAAGAAAGCTTGACAGAGATCTTGTAGGTGTTTGTCTCTGTCTGAGGGGTTGGAGCAAATGCGGTTGTATCGCAGAGCTTGGCTGTAGACGATGGATCGTGTGGTGTGGTCAGGGTGAAAGCTGGAGGCATGCAGGTAGGAATAGCGGTCAGTAGGTTTCCGGTATAGGGTGGTGTTTATGTGGCCATTGTTTATTAGCACTGTAGTGTCCAGGAAGTGGATCTCTTGTGTGGACTGGACCAGGCTGAGGTTGGTGGTGGGATGGAAATTGTTGAAATCATGGTGGAATTCCTCAAGGGCTTCTTTTCCATGGGTCCAGATGATGAAGATGTCATCAATATAGCGCAAGTAGAGTAGGGGCTTTAGGGGACGAGAGCTGAGGAAGCGTTGTTCTAAATCAGCCATAAAAATGTTGGCATACTGTGGGGCCATGCGGGTACCCATAGCAGTGCCGCTGATCTGAAGGTATACATTGTCCCCAAATGTGAAATAGTTATGGGTAAGGACAAAGTCACAAAGTTCAGCCACCAGGTTGGCCGTGACATTATCGGGGATAGTGTTCTTGACGGCTTGTAATCCATCTTTGTGTGGAATGTTGGTGTAGAGGGCTTCTACATCCATAGTAGCCAGGATGGTGTTATCAGGAAGATCACCGATGGATGGAAGTTTCCTCAGGAAGTCAGTGGTGTCTCGAAGGTAGCTGGGAGTGCTGGTAGCGTAGGGCCTGAGGAGGGAGTCTACATAGCCAGACAATCCTGCTGTCAGGGTGCCAATGCCTGAGATGATGGGGCGCCCAGGATTTCCAGGTTTATGGATCTTGGGTAGTAGATAGAATATCCCAGGTCGGGGTTCCAGGGGTGTGTCTGTGCGGATTTGATCTTGTGCTTTTTCAGGAAGTTTCTTGAGCAAATGCTGTAGTTGCTTTTGGTAACTCTCAGTGGGATCATAGGGTAATGGCTTGTAGAAACTCGTGTTGGAGAGCTGCCGAGCAGCCTCTTGTTCATATTCCGACCTATTCATGATGACAACAGCACCTCCTTTGTCAGCCTTTTTGATTATGATGTCAGAGTTGTTTCTGAGGCTGTGGATGGCATTGCGTTCCGCATGGCTGAGGTTATGGGGCAAGTGATGCTGCCTTTCCACAATTTCAGCCCGTGCACGTCGGCGGAAGCACTCTATGTAGAAGTCCAGTCTGCTGTTCCGACCTTCAGGAAGAGTCCATCTAGAATCCCTCTTTCTGTAGTGTTGGCAGGGAGACCTCTGTGGATTAGTATGTTGTTCAGAGGTATTTTGGAAATCTAGTAACTCTTCATTTGGCCTTGATGCTGGTTCAGGGCAGGAGTAATGTTTGCATAATCATTCCTTCAGTGCATTATTAATTACTACTTGAAGTGCTCTGCTAATGAGGATAGCTGCATGACGGTTTGACAGAGTGGGAGAAAAAGGGGTGTAAAATTAATCAAATTAAGAACACAGCCTACATCAAAACTGGCTCAGCCTAACAACCTAATTACATAGGTTTTTTTTTCCTTCTGTATTCTAATTTATTGCAAACCCATGACTACAGCTAATAAAGAATGTAATTGTAAGCCCCTGATACCAGAATGCTGATGAAATAGGTAAGTTACACCAAGTAACCTGATAATGAAAGGCATGAACAAACAGGAATTTCATTAGCACTTTTTTTCTTAAAGCTGTTAGAGTAACAGGAGCCCTGTGTCTTTTTTTTTCCTTTGTCCTTTCACATTCCCACCTGGAATTGCTCATAAATATACCCCCCTCAAAAAAAATATTACCAAAATAAAAGTGAAGACCATGTTGTGGTTTGTTATCAGCACTTATGGGAGAAAATCCCTCATTAGAATTGTTATGATTCAAAATTTGTTATTTATGTTAACCTTCCTCTTAATAGTACATGTGTGGAAAATGCACTGTTTTTTTTCTGAAATGCTAGTTTATCTGAAAAGATTTGCTGCTTCCTGGTCATGAACTATGGCAGTTCCCCAGCAATTTGTTCAGCCCATGGCCTGAATCTGCACTGTGACTTAAGTGGGAGTTAAAGATGCTCAGTACTTTAAAGACAGGTTTCAGAGTAACAGCCGTGTTAGTCTGTATTCGCAAAAGAAAAGGAGTACAAGGTGCCACAAGTACTTTAAAGAGAAACTCAAGGTTTCATAGGAGCAGGACTTTCGTGTAGGTTGATTTCCAGGAATCTGTTCAAAATGTTAGGCCTGGTCTACATTACAGTTAGGTTGACATAAGCTGTCTTCTATCAACCTAGGTGTGGAAGTGTCTTCACTTAAATTTGGCTCCTGACAATGTAAGTGCCTCTCTATGCTGATTTAGTAACACCAGCTCCCTAGTGGCATAGAATCACACTTGATGTAATTAGGTTGGTGTAGTGTCAGTGCAGACATTATGTTGCCTATGTTGACTGTTAGTGGCCTTCAGGAGCCATCCCACAATGCCCAACATTGACAATACAATAGGTACAAGTACTCCTGGCTGGTGAGGATGTACACAACTAGCCAAGTGTGTGCACACTCAAGCAATTTAATAATTGTTGTGGCTGTGTGGCAACATAAGTTAGGTCGACACAATTCTGTAGTGTAGACCTGGCCTTAGATTCCCACAAGGCCCTAAATTTTGCCAGATATTTATGCACAGTTAAAATGAAAAGAATATAAACCACATTAATAAGCAGGGCTTTGGAGCTGTGCTCCAACTCCAGGCAAAAACCTGCAGCTTCGCGCTCCAGCTCTGGGCTCTGCTCCAAAGCCCTGCTAATAAGAAAACATTTTTGATGTTGTGAATTAATAACAATTTACTAACTGGAAAAAAAAAGTTTCTATATTTAAAGACATCAGACTGAAATTTAGGGTTGTGGGTGGTGTGTGGTTTTTTTTGTTTTTTTTTTTTTAAATGAGCTAAAAGCAGTAGGACTCCACTGGCCGTGAGTCACGTTGTGAAATAAAAGAAAAGGAGTACTTGTGGCACCTTAGAGACTAACCAATTTATTTGAGCATAAGCTTTCGTGAGCTACAGCTCACTTCATCGGATGCATTCAGTGGAAAATACAGTGAGGAGATTTATATACACACAGAACATGAAAAAATGGGTATCATACACACTGTAAGGAGAGTGATCACTTAAGATGAGCTATTACCAGCAGGAAAGCGGGGGCGGGGGGAGAGAAAGAAAACCTTTTGTAGTGATAATCAAGGTGGGCCATTTCCAGCAGTTAACAAAAACGTCTGAGGAACAGTGGGGGGGGGGGGAATAAACATGGGGAAATAGTTTTACTTTGTGTAATGACTCATCCACTCCCAGTCTCTATTCAAGCCTGAGTTAATTGTATCCAGTTTGCAAATTAATTCCAATTCAGCAGTCTCTCGTTGGAGTCTGTTTCTGAAGTCTTTTTGTTGTAATATTGCGACTTTTAGGTCAGAGATCGAGTGACCAGAGAGATTTGAAGTGTTCTCCGACTGGTTTATGAATGTTATAATTCTTGACATTTGATTTGTGTCCATTTATTCTTTTACGTAGCAACTGTCCAGTTTGACCAATGTACATGGCAGAGGGCCATTAAACCTGTTGTGAGATAAGGCATGCGAAACATGTTCAGACAGCAATGTGATTTTTAAGCTGCAAGTTTTAAATACAATATCTTTTTCCAAATAAGTATTTGTTTTATTTCTCACACACAGTTTTAATAAGTAATAACAGTAACTTCAGGTCAGGTGTACTGTTGTTTCTTAATGGCAATCTATTTACTTCAGGTTTTTGAAGCTTGTGATGAAGATAAGAAAGGATATTTAAGCAGAGAGGACTTTAAGGTCGCTGTGGTGATGCTATTTGGTTACAAACCATCAAAGGTATAGCTTATTTTTTTTCTCCATCATGTCTTAAAGACTAAATTTATAAGGATATCTCACTACTGAGAACACCGTATGCAAAATAGTCTAGTCTAATAGATCCAGTTCATGAAATTAACAGAAGTGTAGTCTGATTCTTAGAGGTCAGGTGTCAGCTGTCTGTGTGTATTTAAAAACAAAAGGCCAAAGCTATTAATCATGTTGGGAACATTATCACTATCCACATTAATTTTGCGAAATCCTACTCTGAGGATGCACGGGTGTACAAGGTGGGTGGGAAAAGAGGGTGTAGTGAGCCCTGCTTAGTTTAAAGTGTGATATGAGATCCAAATGATTGTGCATTAATATACACACAGTCTATTTGCTTATGAGGTTCTTTGAGAAGAAATTACTGTATGTTACAATAAGTAAACACATGTTCTCACAAACTGAGTCACTTACGGCTCCAAGAAGTGCAAAATGTACTTCTTCAACCCTGCCTTTTCTGACATATAAACACAGCAGCAGACAGGGTTTTTTTTATTTGTTTTTGTTTTTTTAAGCCTACCAAAACACTACACAACATACAGTTTTTTACCTCAGGAGAGGATGAGAGAGAGAATAAAATACATGTGCAAAATGTTAGGCTTGTCACTTCTTACAGTATTGGAATGCGGTCATATACTTTGCGGATGGGAATGGAACCTGAACAGACTAGATAGAACATGTATAAAAGATTATACAATCATGGTCTTGTATGTAATCACTGAAATAAATATATCTGTGTCCATCGCCATGTTACTATCCAGACACATGTTTACACATGTAGCTGGTTAATCTTACGTAGTGTCCACTTAGTGCACAGTACATTATTTCCTTATTATGTTAATTTCTCAACCAGCTTCTCCCCTCCCCTTCTCCCAGTTTATCAAAGCAATCACTCTTCATGGAGGCCTAAATATGCTGCAAGCTAACTTCAAACCACTTGTCATTCATTTAAGTGCTAAAAAAAAATCCTAAAAAGTTTAGTGTTGTTTTTTCCCCTTATGATCCAATTACTCTGGGGCTTTGCTGAGAAATGCTTAATTTTTGCACACAATTGAAGACCAAACCTTTTCCAGAGATGTACTCAAAATACATATTAACTAACAATCTCAGTTTTTTAACTTCTGATAATATCTCTAGTTACAGTTTTTTAAATATTAATAATATCCGTTTTTAAACCACAAGGTGTCACCAGTAAACTCTTTAGTGGATGATGTACAAAGTAAGGATTGAATTATATAGTATTGTTGCATTATCCTGCCAGGAGATCACTCTTCACAGCTCCTTGCTTTCCTTCACAATGATTTTATCTAGTCTGACAACTTATAGTTTATCAGTGGACATTTGGTATTATATATTTTTATAAAATAATTTTTAAAGATTCTAAACTTATTGCTATTAATATATGCAGTGTAATCGTAGTCCTGTTGATCCCAGGATATTAGAGAGGTAAGGTGTGTGAGGTAATATCTTTTATTGGGCCAACAATTGTTGGTGAAAGACACTAGCTTTCGAGCCTTAGCTTCGACACTTAGCTCTGTGTGGCCCAAAAAACTTCTTTCTCTGAGCAACCGAAGTTGGTCCAATAACAGATATTACCTCACCCACCTTGTCTCTCTACTACTAAAATGACATTTCTAGCAAGATGACCCACCTGAGATAAGTGTCCAGTGATGAATTAAAATGGAGAGAAGTAACACCATTTTTTGTACTGATATTTCTGTTACCTGTATTTTGTCAGTGCTTGTATGCCAACACAATAAATTTACTATCTAGGTAGAATAACTCGCAATTAAAAATGTTTTTGAATGCAAAGCATTTTCCCATATGTTTTACCAATTTCAGCAATTGGTTTATATTGTGTAATGAATACTAAAGTATCAGAAATGTGATTGTTCAAATTTCTGAAGGAAGTTATTTGTTACTGGGGAGAAAAAACTTTCTTTCTGGAAATCTGATTAATTGTTACCCTCCAACCATTTGAGCTGATATAAAATGCTCTGGAAGGATGAGTCTGGTTTTTATTTTTGTTTTTTTGTTTATTTTTGTTTTTGTTTTGTTTTGTTTACGCTACTCCAGCTAAGCTGTCATTTTAGTGGCAGCTCGGTGTGCTAAAATGCGCGTTTGGGCCTAATGCTCCTCAGAGCAGTGAGGTCACTGCAAAAGCACCAGGATCAATCCATAAGGGAAAGAGAACATCTCAGATAGTTCTGGACTAAATTCTCTTGGCTGCTGCAAATAGCATCATAAATGGGTCTCAGAGGGAGCCTCATCCAACACATTCGTTGGTAGGAGGGATGCTGCAATACAGGGCTTTTGAGGATGGAGGTGGGAGAAACTGGGGTAAGTTATCTCCCCCTACTTTGCATACCACTCACCCTACATTTTTTATTTAAATCATTCATTCTGCAGTTTCAACACTTTTATTTTGAGAACATTTCTTTAAAATACTCTGTAAGATAGACCGTTGTTGAAACAGGAACTTCCTTTTTTTTTTTTTTTTAAGGGAAATAGCCCCCATCCCAAAAAATGTGACTGCTTAATTTTAAATAGGCCCCATCCCAAAAACATATGACTGCTTAATTTTCCACACATGAATAAGTCCATTTGAGTTCAGTTAAGCACATATTTATTTTTGAAAGATTGGGGACTTAGTTAGAATTGGTGTACTCTTTGGCCTTGTCTACACTACACAGTTTTGTCGATAAAAGTCAGCTTTCATTGACAAAATAGTGGAGGTTTACACGCAACAATGCTCCTCCTGCCGATTTAACTCTCCTGCTACGCTGACAAAATAAAACCACCTCAACGAGAGGTGTAGAGCTTTTTGCAGCAAAGTCAGATCGACGCAGCATCAGTGTAGACACTGTGTTTGCTTATGTCACCATAAATGGCCTCTAAGAGGTGTCCGACAATGCCCATCCTGACCCCTCTGGTCAGGATACTGTTAGAACTCTGCTGCCCTGCAGCCCGGTATACAGGCATCTACCCTTCCCCCTTTAAAGGACTGGACTTTTTGAAATTCCACTTCCTGTTTGCTCGGTGTGCAGACCTCACATTGCATCTTCCCAGCTGACCATGGCGGCTCCGCACAGCAAACGCTTGGAGTACAGTGGAATTGTTGGATCTGCTGCATCTGTGGGGAGAAGAGGCTGTACGGTCCCGGCTCCACTCCACCCATAGAACTTCGATACCTACAGGAAGATTTCTTGTGGCATGTTGGAGAGGGCCACGAATGGGACGCGCATCAGTGCAAGTTAAGATCAAGGAGCTGAGGCAGACGTACCAGAAAACATGGGAGGCAGACGCTCTGGTACTGCACCAAAGATCTGATGCTTCTACAAGAAACTGGACGCCATCCTTAGCAGTGACCCCACTTCCACCACCAAGAGCCACATGGATGCTTTGTGGACGGGGTGGGGGAGGATGGAGACAGTGGCCAGTGGACTGGAAGTAGAGTTGGAGAATGAGGTGGACAGGTGACAGAGTCATCCAGTAGTGTGGCTAGCCAGGACCTCTTCTCTACTCCAGATGGTTCAAGCCAGTCTCAGCACTTCGGCTTTGGCGTGCGTGATGCAGGAGAGGGGAGCTCTGGTAAGTGGTCATTTTGATTTGATACTGCTCAGTTACATGAGGTAGAGCTGTTCTTGGTTTTGTTATTTGCTAGAAGTGGGTTAAGGGATAGAAATGTACAAGACTAGCAGTATTTGCATCTGCTTCCCATTCACATCTGTAGCTACACAGTGGGGACCCTGCTGAAAAAGTTGTTAATGCACACCAAGATTTCACAGGAATCCTTCGGAGAGATCTCTAGGAAACTTTTCTAGAGGTACTTGCCAATCTTCTGCTGAAGGTTCCTTAGCAGAGCTGCCTTTCTCCCCCAATCAGTAATCACTTCTGCAGGGACCAAAGCAGCATAGGGACCTGGTCTGAAGCCACATGCATGCAGGAGATTCATCCTTGCATCCTTGTTTATCCTCTGGAGTGAGATATCAGCTTGAATTACCCCCACCTGTGGAAAAAGGTGGCAGAATTTACAAAGTCACTTGCACTGATCCCCTTAAAAAAAACACCTAGACCCTTGGCTCCATCTTGGACCTTCCTCTCTTCCCCCAGGCTGAACTCACCATGTTTAGTACGGTCGCTGAGCTTTGTGCTTGCCAAGGGAGAGTGAGAGAGAGGTGTATTTAACTACTATGATTCAGTGTTGTGAGTGCACTCACAATACTGCCTCTGTTTGTTGTTTCTTGTGCTTCTACAAATGTGCTCTGGAGGGGAACTTCCTACACGCCAGTGGAGCACCTCCATCAGACAAGGAGGTGACCCAGGATGCAAAAGGAGGACATGATTAAGGGAGGTGTTCCAATTGTCTGACACCACAGATCATGATCACAGAGCGTGGAGAGAGACAATTAATGAAAAATTGAAAATAGATGGCCTGGAGAGGAAGCAGCACCAAGAGCGTATTTCAGAGAGGCAGGATCGGATGATAAAACTGATGCAGGACCAAACAGATGCTAAAGTCCCTGATTGTGCTGTAGTCAGAATACGTATGCTCGCCTTCCCCTGCAGCCTAAACAGAACAGCGTGCCATGCCCTCCCCGACTCCTCGCACATATTCTTTGCATCTTCCCGGCCCGTCTCAGTACCACCTTCACTCACCCTTTTGGACAGGTAATGATAGCTGGACTTATACACAGCTATGAGCACCTCCTTTAATAGAGTGCTTGTCAGAGTCGTCTCCCTTGCAAGAAATCAAATTCTGTGTATTGGTCATTGCTGTTTAATAAAAATGTACTCATAGAAAGAAAATTAAGCTTTATTTTTCTCCTACACACAATGGTTGCTGCTGGCATTCATACACAGTGGCAATGAGCACATTTACAAACTACAAATCATACTCAGGAAGCAATCATCACAAGGGTTATTCCAGGTGGCAAGTAAACGAGCCTGGCTGACTGCATTATGTAAAGGCACATTACTGGGGCTCATTGTCAAAATGCTGCTACAAAGCCTCCCTGATTCAAATAGCCCCCTTTTTGAGCCCCTCTAATAGCCCTGGTATCTGGCTGCTCCAAATCAGCTGCCATCCGATCTGCCTCGATGCTCCACCCCTGGACTTTTCCCCCTTAGCTTCACAAGTATTATGCAGAGTACAGCAGGCTGGGCTATGACCATGGCAATATTTTCCTCATTGAGATCTAACCTGCAATAAAGGTAGCACCAGTGAGCTTTTAATCTGTCAAACGCACATTCATCGGTCATTCTGCACCTGCTCAACCTGTTGTTGAAGCACTCCTTGCTGCTGCCAATGTTTCTGGTATAAGGCTTCATGAGCCATGGGAGTAAGGGGTAGACTAGGTCTCCCACGATCACTATGGGCATTTCAGTGTCCTCCATTGGAATCTTCTGGTCTGGAAAGAAAGTCTCTGCTTGCAGCTTTCTATACGAGCCAATGTTCCTGAAGGTGTGTGCGTCATGAATCTTTCCTGACCACCCCACATTGTTGTTAGCAAAACAACCCTGGTGATCCACAAGCACCTGCAGTACCATAGAGAAGCAACCCTTTCGATTGATGTACTCCATCGCGCAAGATGGTCCAGGGCCAAAATTGGGATATGCATGCCATCTGTCACCCTACTGCAGTTAGGGAATCCCATTGCCACAGAACCATCCCCCATTTCACACACATTTCATAGCAACACAGCCCTTCATAGCAGGATGTGATTAATGGCCCTGCACGTTTGTGTAAACGCAACCCCTGTGGTGGACTTCCCAACTCCAAACTGAGTCATGACTGATAGTAACAGTCTGGAGTTGCCAGCTTCCACACAGCAATTTCCACATGCTTTGCCACTGAGAGGGCAGCTCTCATTTTGGTGTCCTTGTGGAAGGGCAGGGGTGAGCACCGCACACCGTTCCAGGAACATGGCTTTGTGCATCCAAACGTTTTGCAGCTGCTGCTCATCATCCCAAACCTGCATAACGATGTGATTCCACCACTCAGTGATTGTTTTCTGAGACCAATAGCGACAGTCCATCGTGTGCAGCAGCTCCATGAATGCCAAAAGTAATCTGGAATTGTTTCTTTCTGTGGCACCCAGCAGGGCAGGCATCTCAGATTCCTGTTTGGATTCACAGCTCAGAAAGTACTGTATGATCAGTTGCATTGTGTTCATAACTGTTATCACAAGACTGGTGAGCAGTGCAGGATCCATGTTTTTCGGCAGAGATGGTGGGCGCACAGTTTACAGGGGCTGTTGAAAAACGGTGCAAAGGGTAGTCAGAAGCCCATCGAATGATGGGACAGAAAAAACTGCATCATGGGACAGTGAGCCCACACCCATGATGCACTGCAATCCATTCCCACAATTCCTAGTGGCAGAATGTGACAAGTTGTACAGTGGGATAGCTACCCACAGTGCACTGCTCTTTTGATGCTAGAGCACCAATTGTGATGCACTCTGCCGACACAAGGAGCGTTGTGTGAACATGCACAAGTGATGTAATTATAGTGGTTTATGATTGTCGGAGTAACTTGTGTCGACTTAACTCTGTAATGTAGACATAGCCTATAGCTTCTTTTCTGGCCATAGACACACAAATGTTTAATGGGGGGAAGTATTTATATTAAAGCTATAGTACTGAACTAATACTGCAGACGATTTTACAAGATATGCTGTTTAATAGTTATGTGATCAGAATTGAATTTTGTTAATTACAGTTGATACAAATTGAAATAACTATAATGGATCAAATTCACCACATGGTGAAAGCAGGCTCAACAATATTGTCTGGTATATTTTCTCTGTTCCAGGTGGAGGTGGATTCAGTAATGGCCTCAGTGCAACAAAAAAATTCAGGTAATATGCAAACAACAGGCTTTCCTTTCTCTCTAGTCTCTTCTCATTCATAAATTCTGTAATCTTAAAGACTTTTAAAAGAATTTTCTACAGATTAATTATAAAGAGATTTACAGAGGCTGTTGATGAGTCTGAATTATTTAATTACTAAATTCTCATATGATGAAAATTAGCTTTTGGGCTTGTCTTTGGTGCAAGGTTGGCAGTTTTCCAGGAAAAACTTATTTCGGACAGGCACTGGTAAATACCAGTTTAAACTGGGGAAAAGAAAATAATTATTAGAATATACTAATGAAAATTACTGAAAAAATGTTTAACGGTTTGATAATTTTTGGTATATATAATATTTATATAATATTGAAAACTGAAATATGAGTCGTGGTATATACATTCCTTGAGAAAATACCAAACCAAAATGTATAGAGACACTCCGTTGTTCAGTATTATGTTACATATATTAGTATTACCCTTACTGCAGTTGTACTTTTTATTTGTACAACCCTAAATTAATTTCTGAATCTACTGCCTTGTGTGACCACAATTTGAATATGTAACTAAAGCTAAGTGTAATACGTGTGCATTAATGAAACAGTTTTTAAAATAGAAAATGCCTAGAACTGGGACTAACTACTAATAATGGTAAAAACCCATTATTTTACCTGGTAAAACCACCTTAGGTAAATACCATCCCTGCTTTGATGCAGATGTATTGCCTCAAAATTGATTTTTTTAATAGCAAGGCTTTACAGGCTAATTGAAATGGTGTCTTAAATTGTAAGTGGAAAGAGGTGGTTTTTAACAAATAAATGTGCTTCTGCAGTACATGCATCCCAGATACAGCAGCACTGTGCTAGAGTATGAGAATCTGAAAATGAAATTGACAGAAGCTGACTATAAAGAAAAGTAAATCTGGCTAGTCTGTTTTCATAATCTAAACTGAGAGAAACTCAAGAAGTAAGCAAAGCATGTATTGGTAAGTGATGAAAATTGTCTGACAATGTCCCTCTATCACCATTCCATTATTTATCTGTTGGATTGATAAAGAACAGTGAGTCTTATCTGCAAAACTAAGTCCAGACACAAGTACAAAGTTAACTGTTTACTTGGATTTTTAGATTATGGATTTTTAAGTGTCAAGTTGACAGACGAGACGATACTTTATTTTTACCTAGAAATATGGTTTTTTATGTATGGAGGTAGCTTTGTACTCTGTAGTTATATTAGATAAAAAGCCAGTGCTAAGAGATCAATGAATGGGCAGCACGGTACTGTAGAGGTCGTTTTTTAAAATGAAAATTGTATACTATAATTTTCCAGTCTTATGTGCCACTTTGAAAGAGAAAATAAATAAATAAATGGATTTCAGCCTATGTTGCTTTTCTAAGGTTTTACTTCCGTAGTTTTCCAATTGAAAGGGATGCTGCTCAGGCAGGCAAGTTCAGTGTGTTTAGGCATCCCTTGTTGTTAAAGAAATTGTGCATATACAGAACCTAGTAGTTGAAACCAGGATGTGTCTATAATTCTAGACACTGAGAATGTAATCATTTTTAATGTGATGTTTTCAAGAAGCAGCAATGAAAAAAATGTTGGGAACCTGAGAGCTTGTAGTTTAAGGTTTGAATTGAGACAGTAGGTGGAGCTGAAGGAGCTATTCTTCTGAACCATTTTAGAAATAAATGGATATGGAAAAACTGTAAGAAAAATAAACCACAGAGGTCTTGTTATATTTTTTTAAAAAAAGCTAGCTAATACAGTGATGGAAAAATCCCATGCACCGCTACAGACTAGGGACCGAATGGCTAGGCAGCAGTTCTGCAGAAAAGGACCTAAGGGTTACAGTGGACAAGAAACTGGATATGAGTCAACAGTGAGTCCTTGTTGCCAAGAAGGCCAATGGCATTTTGGGATGTATAAGTAGGGGCATTGCCAGCAGATCGAGGGACTTAATCGTTCCCCTCTATTTGACATTGGTGAGGCCTCATCTGGAGTACTGTGTCCAGTTTTGGGCCCCACACTACAAGAAGGATGTGGAAAAATTGGACAGAGTCCAGCGGAGGGCAACAAAAATGATTAGGGGACTGGAACAAATGACTTACGAGAAGAGGCTGAGGGAACTGGGATTGTTTAGTATACGGAAGAGAAGGATGAGGGGGGATTTGATAGCTGCTTTCAACTACCTGAAAGGGGGTTCCAAGGAGGATGGCTCTAGACTGATCTCAGTGGTAGCAGATGACAGAACAAGGAGTAATGGTCTCAAGTTGCAGTGGGGGAGGTTTAGGTTGGATATTAGGAAACACTTTTTCACTAGGAGGGTGGTGAAACACTGGACTGCGTTACCTAGGGAGGCGGTGGAATCTCCTTCCTTAGAAGATTTTAAGGTCAGGCTTGACAAAGCCCTGGCTGGGATGATTTAGTTGGGGATTGGTCCTGCTTTGAGCAGGGGGTTGGACTAGATGACCTCCTGAGGTCCCTTCCAACCCTGATATTCTCTGATTCTATGATTGTCCTTTATAAATCATTTCAATTGTATAAAATAGGTCTAGATCTGTATGTTTCACAGGTATAAGGCAAAAGATTAGACTACATGAGAATTCTGAGTTGAAATTACATTTATTTATGTCTTGACTTGTTCTATTTTTAAAAACTAGGGCATACATTTTTTCCTAATATTTCCTTTTTTGTACAAGTACTTTGCTTTCAGAAATACCAGACAGTTAATTAGGGTTGGATTTAACAAACTATATTTGCATTCCAACCTCTTTTATTTAACTCTCCCTAAAAATCAGATAAATGTACTTAGAAACAAATTTACCCAATCTGTTAGTGTAATAACCAATCCAGTGTTATTATGCAGTTTTATTAGGAGACTCCAAGGAAACCAAACCTGAGGCTACAGAGCATTTCATAGGGCATAGATAGTGCTGGGAATGGTGCCAGCTATATTGTTTGTGCAATACACTCTATGCCTTTATTTGTGGAATGCAAGTGCTATTGACTTTGGAGAGACCACTTCTTTGTCCTGTTCTCCCAGTCTAAGGAAAGATGTCACTGTAGCCAGCAAGCAAGAAAGGGAAGAAATATATTAAGGAATAGGGAAAGAAAAGCCTGGTAAATGGAAATTTAATTTGAGAAAAAAGAAAAGGAGTACTTGTGGCACCTTAGAGACTGACCAATTTATTTGAGCATGAGCTTTCGTGAGCTACAGCTCACTTCATCGGATGCTGTAGCTCACGAAAGCTCATGCTCAAATAAATTGGTTAGTCTCTAAGGTGCCACAAGTACTCCTTTTCTTTTTGCGAATACAGACTAACACGGCTGTTACTCTGAAACCTGTTAATTTGAGAAGAAGTTGAATTTTGCAGATGTCCAGTAGAATACTTTCATGTAACCTAACAATATAAAAGATAATTGTTTCAATTCTTGTTCTTATAATTAATAATAAAGCAGTTATAATTATATTGCATGAGTCATTCATAGTTGCAGTGGGCAAATAAAGAAGAGTGGGTTTTTTTTGAGGAGGTATATTCACATTTTCCATTTTTCTAGGTGTATTACTTGAAGAATTTTTAAAACTTATGAGTACAAAGAAGGCTGCACAACTACACCATAGTGAAATAAGGCAGATATTCACAGCTTTTGACATGCAATGTAAGTCTTTCTTCCCTGCAGAGTTTTTAAAGAGAGACTTCCATACTGAAGCAAATATGCAAAATAGAGCATTAATACAAAGCAAAATGTATTTGGGCAGTATCCTAGATGGGAGCTTCCCAGCCCTATCTTTCTATATGATTCTGTGTTTCCAAGTAAAGTAACTAATGTAATGGCATTGCAGGTAGATGATTAACAGAAGCAGGGACAGCAGGCAGTTGAGGCCAGCAGTAGGGTCCCAGGTTGTCTGTTCCACCGCATGTTTCTCCAGTTTTTGAAGAAAACCATCTCTAGTTATTCACTTACCCCACTTACTGTTATCACTGTTATATCTCCATCCTGATTATTGGAACTCCCTCAGGACCCCCTTCTAATGTTTCCCTGCTCACTCATGCACACCTCTTACGCTGCAGATTCCTCTCCCAGGAGATGGGAAGGAATCTTCCCTTCCCTGCTTTACAGATGAAGGGGAAGAGAAAAAGCAGCAAGGATCTTCTTCTATGGCTTATTTTGGGACCCAGGTTTGGTGTTTCTTTTCCTTTTCTGGTAGGCTGTGGGGATGGAATGTGATTCTTATCTTCCTCTCCCCCCTCCCCTAACCAAAGAGGAGAGAAACTTGAGAATAGGCTAGTGAACCAAAGACATGTAGCATTTATACTATCCTTTTCACATGTTTTTTGGTTTTTGTTTTTTTTTTTCTCTCTCTGGCCTGAAACGGGGGCTTGGCCCCTGGGGAATAGAGAGACAGTCAGGTGCTGAAATGAGTCACAAGAAAATGAGAACAGACACAGAGATAGATTTGAAATGGCAGGCTGCAACTTTATTAAAATTTAACATTGGATAGGCGCACTTTCTGTCCCATCTTCCCATACCAGGTATTTTAGATAGGTCCAGTGTAGGGTTTACAGAACATCTATCATATGGCTCGTAACTCAGCATAGACTCTCCAGTGCCTACCCCAAAGGATTCAGCTTGCTCTGCTGAGTCTTCTCACCTTTCCACCAGCAAAGGGGACAGAAGGGACAGACAGAGGGACTGCAGGCTGCAAGGACTTCAGGTCACCCCTTTTCCATAGACCCGGGGTCCACTAGCAACATCCCATGTTTCTTATTTTCTGGTCACTAGCCCTTTGGTCGTTTATCAATCCTGGACACTGGCTGCAAGTTGCACCAAATTAACATAAAGCAACTTAAAAATACAATTTCTATACTAAAGAACTACAAGGAGGGAGCGTGGGTTAAACTAAACATGGGACAAGAGGCCTGATAAACCTTGGACCAGGATTTAAATAAATGATGTTGGGAACCAAGGACCAATTAGTTCACATCTCTCTAGCTGGCCAATGAGCAGTGGAAAGAGGGGCCTACCCCTTTATATTCTCCCCCTTTTATCCAAAGCTGTCAGGCATCTTGTGTATCCAATCCAGTTTCCCATCTGTTAAATTGATGGGTGGCTACTAGCGATTCAGGACAAGAATGCTGCTTCAAAAAGCTTTTCAAAGAGGCTTACACACCTCAGCAGTTACCCCATTCTTCTTTGTTTTGTCCATTATTCTCTCTCTATCTCCTCTCCATAGGTATCCAGCGACAACCCTGTTTGAATTATTGCTTTCTCTTTCAGCTGGATCCTGCAATGAAGTCATAGGTGTGGTCTGCACCTAAAAGTTAGGTTGACATAGCTATGGAAGTAAGGAGTGTGAAAAAACACACCTTTGAGCACCATAACTATGGTGACCTAGTCCCCAGTGTAGATGCAGGTATGTTTGCAGAAGAATGCTTCTGCCATCTTAGGCACTGTCATTCAGAGAAGTGGTGTTCCTATGTCTTCCGGCGGTATAGACTGTGTTTACGCTACAGGGTTGTGCCGGCATAGCTACAGCAACCTAGCTCGGTAGTATAGACCTTTCCATAATCATTGGTGAGTGGTCTCTTTCGTGGATTTTGTTTTGATGTTGTATATTCAGTATCATGACTTCATTGCAGAATTAATCGAGAAGAGAAAATGTACTGTGAGGGAAACCTTATTTAAATACAACTCCACATGTGGAATTTTGATAATTAGCAAATATGGGAAGAAAAATTGGGAAACACATGTAAAAAGTAATTTAGTATATTTTAAAGTGTCCATTTGAAAGTTTTCCCAGTATAAAAGTTTATTTTCAAAATGACAGTTTTTAAAATGAATTCTTAAATATGAAACAGTACAGTACAGATGCTGCAGGGGTATTTCCTTTGAATGGAGTTTTTGGTAGCATACACCAAAATGACAGTACAAAATCACTTTTGAATCACTCATCTTTTGACACCCCCACTACCCTATCCTATGTGGATCCTAGCCATTTCCTAAAATACTTTGGTTGAAATTATAATAACTTCAAAGAGTGTACTTAGTTTCTGAAAATCTACAGGACAGGCTTATGAATATTAATGTATTAAAAATTTGATGTTGGTTCTTGAACAAGCATAACTCTTCATAGTTGGGTTTTTTTATCTTATTTTCCCACTTCTTTAAACAAGATAAAGGATTTTTGACTTTGGAAGATTTCAAACGAGCCTTCAATTCTGTTGCTCCAAAGTTACCTGAAAGGATCATAGTTGAAGCTTTCAGGTAAGACAAACATAAAAGTCTTGTTTGATTCTTGTTCTTAGATAACAGTCTTTAATTTTCTCTTAATTCAAATATATAAAACATTTGGAAACCATAGGTTATGTTCCAGAGCAAAAGATACAAGCTTCAGCACATTATTATTTCAACATCCTTTTATATTACTCCTGTGGGGATTCTGCACCGATGCGGGGGCTCAGAATTCGTATGGCCCGCATTTCTCTGTGTCCCCCGCATAGAAAAATTCAAAAAAATCTGCTGGGGGACACACGCCTCTTGCCCAGCAGCCCAGGCAGCACATTCCAGAGTGCCTGGAGCAGCCTCAGAGACGGGGAAGGGGGGCTGGATGTGCATGCCAGCCTGCCTGCATGATCACCGTCAGGGGCGGGCGGGGCTGAGCATATGTGCGTGCCAACAGGTGTGTGTGTGTGTGAGAGAGAGAGTGTCTCTCCCTCCCCCTGGCTACTGCAGCTCACTGGTGTGTAAGGGTCCGGCGTTTTATGTATGAGGCAGGTTAGAGGTACAAATGTAGCAGGCCTGCCTGAGTTAATTGATTCATTCTCTGAGGTACTAGCAGCCTGACTAGGTAGTTAGTAACATTGTTAAACTTGCTGTTGATGGTTAATTGATCTCATTCTCTGAGGCAGAAATGTAGCACCTGACTTTTAATGTTAACGTTTATATTGTTAGTCAACTGTTCTCATTCTCAGTCAATTCCCCTAGGAGCATAAAACCTGTGAAAGTTTTAAGGCCCCCAAGTTGCCAGAGTGATGTAAAGGAGACTTCTTATAAATGACAGTAAGGGAATCCTCAGCTAGGGAGATCTATGTGCTTACTCACTTTTTTCCTGTGCCAAAGTGTCACAATGTGGTTAGATTACAGGTAAGGACTTATTTTACTTACTCGTTTAAAAAAAAAAAAAAAAAGACGACGACGACTTTGAGGGCAAAATAAAACATTTACCAAGCAGTCAATAAAATGTCAGGACAATCAGAACCAAGCACTTCCCAAAGTACCCAGCCAGGTCCAGATGAAGTTACCAAAGTGCAAAGGGATATTCGTTCTTTTGCATGACGTGAATGGCCATCACATCATGCATCAAAAACAGCTACACCAGCTTCTCAAGCTCGAGAATTCCCTACAAAACGGCATGCGGATGGGGACAAATTATTTTGCACATTGTGCAATGTTGTTCTCAATCATGACCAACGGTCTGTAATTGTGGGTCATTTTGCATCAAAAAAACACAAACTGAAGGAAGATGCGGCTCAAGAGGAAGGCAGAAAATAAACGTCAGAAGACCATTACAGGTTCACTGAAAAACAAAACACCAGCAGAAAAAGAATGTGTGGAGGTGAGTGGAAATATAAGAAAATGTTATAATACAGAAAAATAAGATAAGTAGCATAGAACAGTCATAGCGATGGGGTCTTTTCACTTGCTCTGAGATCTTGAATAGACATTTCTGTTTTTAAACTACTTTTTTTTGTAAGTGGTGACTACATGATTATTTACTATATATAAATCTAAACTGAAGTCTAGAAATTCAGAAATAAATATATAAATAAATGTATTAATCTAAGATGTTACATGGATGGTAAATATTTGTGCTCCCTGAAGATTTATCTAACTACTTCTACTTTCAGATTTGTACAGCATGGGTGAAGACGCTAGCAGGTGCCAACATCCCCTTGTCAAAGACTGACCACCCACTTGTGAGGGAATTTCTTGACAGGAGGGTCCGGAATGGTGGTGTGATTTCTGCTAGGACACAACTGACTGACACATTCTTACCTGAAGTGTACCTCAAAGAAAAGGAAAACTTAAAACAGAAGCGTAAAGACAAGAAAATCGCTGTTAGCTTTGTTGAATGTTGTGATGAGGCAAGATCAGTTCTGAATGTACTCTTTGCACCATTACAACCTGATTTCAGTAGGCAAGTTAACTCTTTTTTTGGTGGATACAGTGTTTTTAGATGCTGTTAATCACTCAACTGTTTCACAGGCTGTAGTCAAAGCAGTAAATGAGTACCAGATTGATTATGAAAATGTAGTAATTGATACTGACAATGCTAATTACATGAAAAAGGCATTTGATTCTGTGTTTTCTACACAGTTTCCAAATTCTGTGCATATAACCTGTTTGGCACATATTGTTAATTTAATTGATGAATCATTTAGAAAGCCTTTTCAGATGGTTGATACATTTGTAAGGGGCTTCAAAAACATGTTCTATAACTCTGTAGTAGGAAAGCGAGGTACCTCCATTTCATGAACCAGAAACTACAAGAGGAGTCTCCAGATGTCAAAGCATCCATGCCTCCTAGGAGGGCCGTCCCCAGACGTACGCAGCAGGCACGGTTGCGTAGGGCACCAGAAAATTTGGGGCATCATTCCCTTCGCTGGTCGTGGCTGGAATCCTCTCTTCTCCGGCCCCTCCCTGGTGCTGGGCCGGTGGACTTCTCCCCAACCCTGCCCCCTCCCTTCTCAGCTGGCCAGCTAAGAGCTCCAGCCCCGGGGGACCAGAGCAGCACAGTCCACCGCTGTCCAGAGTGGAGTCCCTCCCTAGACCCTGTTTGCCTGCGCCGCTCGGTTTCTGGCAGGATCCGGGCCCGGGCCAGGACAAGGAGGAGCAAAACTTCCACATGAGGTTTGGGTGTGGGGGAGAGGAGGAGTGAAGGGTGGGTCTTAAAGTGACAGTGCGCTCACTGTCTCTCACACTTCCCTAACACACACACAGAGTCTGTCTCACGCACACAGTCTGGCTGTCACACCCACATACTTTGCCTCTCATGAGTCACAGTCCCCCAATACTGATTGTCTCACACACACAGAGTCTCACACTCCCCAACACACTCTGTCATACAGTCCCCCAACACACACACACAGTCTCACACACACACACTGTGTCTCTGTCTCTCTCACATGCACTAGCTCTCTCTCTCACACACACATAGACACACACACTCTGTCACACGTGCACACACACACACGCGCGCTCGCGTAACATTATTGTTGTTCTTACTGCTTGGTACTTCCTGTCAAAATGCTTGTGGTGAGGGGCTGCAGCAGGTCCGTGGGCTCTGGCAAGATGCAGCTCCCCATGTGACAGCGCGAAGCCTGCCTTGAGCCACTGCCACAGCATCTGCTGCATACGAAGCACGGTGTGTGTTAGCAATGGGGGGGGACTCCAGGGGTCCACATGCAGGGGTGGTGGCTGTGCCACCTCGACACACTGGGGTCAGCAGTGCCGGCTGGGGGCCGCCTTCAGTGGAGCATAGTTTAATAATACTGCGTAGGGCCCCATAAATCCTAAGGACGGCCCTGCCTCCTAGCCCAGGTGGAATACACTGGAACAGCTGGTTCCCTGCTGTCCAGTATCACTCTAAGAACTTTCAGTTCTACAAAGAATTCTTTAATGAATTGCAACAGCAGCTCCCCAGTTTCTGTGCAAACTGTTCAGAAAATGAAGAATGACCCAACTAATTATGCATTGTTGAACATACAGATCACTTTTCTAGCACAGAAATGTGAACAAATTTTCAGTTTAAATCTGACATTTGAGAGCAGGAAGCCTTGCACAATTAAAGCATTTGACCTTCTGGAAGAACTGCAGATATATTTCAGTTCACATCTAGAGCTCCCTTCAGAAAACACCTTAGAGTTCTTCAAATTTAGGGAGGCAGAAAACTTATCTCCTGTTAAAAGATTTGCCTGTCTAAATCTTTTTAAAGAGGCATTCCATGAAGCATCTAAAAAGCTTGACAAATATTTGTCATTTGGACAACCAGGTCTAAATTTTCTCAAAGCTTGTGGGTTATTCAATCCTCATCGTGTTTATATCCTGCCAGAACACTGTGAATGCTTTCAAGCAATACCTAGTTTTTCTGAGGTACCTGAACAGGAGCTAAAATTGTACAGGGAAAAGATAGTGCCTGAAGCTATTCAAAGTCAACCTATTTTTGTAGACCTCCAAGTGTTTTGGCTTTCAATGACTGAGAGAATTCCAAATATTGCCAAGCTGGCCTTGAATTGCATAAATACTGTTAGGTTTCAGAGGAACAGCCGTGTTAGTCTGTATTCGCAAAAAGAAAAGGAGTACTTGTGGCACCTTAGAGACTAACCAATTTATTTGAGCATGAGCTTTCGTGAGCTACAGCTCACTTCATCAGATGTTTACCGTGGAAACTGCAGCAGACTTTATATACACACAGAGAATATGAAACAATACCTCCTCCCACCCCACTGTCCTGCTGGTAATAGCTTATCTAAAATGATCAACAGGTGGGCCATTTCCAGCACAAATCCAGGTTTTCTCACCCTCCACCCCCCCACACAAATTCACTCTCCTGCTGATGGGCTAGCACCAGCAGGAGAGTGAATTTGTGTGGGGGGGTGGAGGGTGAGAAAACCTGGATTTGTGCTGGAAATGGCCCACCTGTTGATCATTTTAGATAAGCTATTACCAGCAGGACAGTGGGGTGGGAGGAGGTATTGTTTCATATTCTCTGTGTGTATATAAAGTCTGCTGCAGTTTCCACGGTAAACATCTGATGAAGTGAGCTGTAGCTCACGAAAGCTCATGCTCAAATAAATTGGTTAGTCTCTAAGGTGCCACAAGTACTCCTTTTCTTTTTATAAATACTGTTGCAAATTCTGCAGTTGCAGAGAGAAGTTTTTCACTGTACAATTTGATCTTTTCTAGCAGAAGGAAATCACTAAGTGAGGAAAAACTTGAAGGCTCTTTGTTCTCTGTACTATAATTTAAATGAAAATACTGGATTGCACTGAAATGCAGGACAATGATTAGCAAAACTATAGGACTTTCATATGTGAAAATCTGAGCAATTTAAAATGACATCCTGCTTTTTGTTGTTGTTACTGTTTGGTGTTCTGTAATGTAATTCAAATGAAAATCCAGAATTATAACTGAAATGCAGGCTATTGGTTACCAAATGTTTGTAACTTAACTTTCACGTGTTTAGGGAATGCTGAATAGTTACTGTGACTTTTTTCTGTATTGTAGTTTAAATAAATTACCAAAACAATTGAAACTGGTGTGATTATATTGCATTATTTTGACAAAATATGCAGAATGTTGAAATTTTTGGCACAGAATTTTGAAATTTTTGATGCAGAATTCCCCCAGGAATCGTGTGTGTGTGTATGTGTATATGTGTGTGTGTGTATATATATATATATATATACATACCATTCAAGAAAAAGGGATTTGTCTGGTATTTTAAATGGACACTATAGGCACTGATTAAATATTACCAAACATGAAAAACTAATACATTGAATCCTACAATGTCTCTTCAGAAGTCTAAAAATACTCATTTTCACAATTTCATGACTTGTTTGAGAAACTGGAACTTGAGAGCTATCTCTTGAAGACTGTGGAACTAACATGCTAGTACATTCTACAAGAGACTACAGGTAAAATTTCCTAAAGTGCTATAATAACTTAGAAACAGGCTTTTGATTGCCTTTTGAACATTTTACCCACAGGCTACTAAGTCACTTTGGAAACTTAACCCCTAATCTATAGTGTTGTATTAATTTAGATGGACTATGTGAGCCAAAGGTATTAACATAACCCAGTCACTGTCCAACATTAAACAGTGTTAAAACAAGGTCTGGGGTTTGGCATACAGAGACCTCAGCCTGTTTAGTACCATGGTAAACACACCATTTTAAAATTCTTTTAACTTCTTATTAAAGATACACAAAAGAAGGAAAAATGGTTAAAGCATTTGAAATATAAATTATTAAGTAAGGCTTTTATATTAACTTTTTTTCTCCTTTCCCTTTAGCTGTGGAGAGACTTAGAAGGAACCCCCTCCACTCCTCCCCTTGTTTGATAGTCTTTTGGATGGTGTCAAAGGTGGTAATAACTGTCCTTTGGGGCAAAAGAGAAGTTAGTAGAAATGGATTGGAGCTGCTGCTGTTAAAGTCTGATACCGTTTTATCCGAAGCGGTGTTCGTGATTCGGCTGGAGCTGATAGATCTGTTAATGCATCTGGGTACCTTTCTCTGGCCTGGTCTGGTAAAGACATATCTCAGGATTAGGATGATGAAGGCCTGGAGTCCCAGGAGATGTGGGGAGGACGGGTGGGAACCATGGTGATGAAGCTTGCTTCAGTAATCTCTGACTGTTTTTCAGCTCCATCTGTTCATTCAGTCTTTTCCTCCCAAAGTCTCTTTCTTTAAAGACCCCCAAAGGGAATGGTGTGTGGAATAGCCCATCCCCTTATTTATTTTGTGCACTAATTAGGCCTAATACACAACACACCAATTTTGGTTCATGAACTTCTGGCCATCATCTGTTTTTAACAAGCATAATTTCAACAGTCCTTTGATTATATCAATGTGGCCTTTTTATTTTAGGCTAATCCAGTTTCTCGGTCTGGTTTTCTGGCACCTATTCCCATCAACACTTGTTGTTACAGGTTATTGTGACATTTTATGATCTCCCACTCACTTTTTACAGTTAAATTTACAATTAGAGTAGATTTGAAGGCTTTATTATCACAACAGCACTCACAAAGAGAAAGTTATTTGATCCACAGTTCAAAAGTTTTGTGGGAATTCTTATATTACAGGAATGTTTCTCCCTCTATCCATTTCAGATGGATGAAGTTCGAGTGATTTATAAAAATGTTCGGGTGGCTTTTTTTTTTATTTTTGGCTATCAGTTGCATAATTAGAGTCCCAAAGCTGCATTCCAGTATGCAGGAAGTATGAGTTTTGTCTGAACTAATGTGATATCATATATATGTTTTGTTCCTATAGAAATTCGTAATAGATTCTTATAATACTCACAATATTCATTGTATTGAGTCTTAAAATGAAATTGTACTGTATTTGTTCCAAAGACTCCATGTGGGTATTTGGTCCAAATTAACAGTTTTGGTTTTAAAGTTATTTAAACGTGATCTTGTAATGGTTGTGAGGTTAGTTTTTGCATTTTGTTGTTTGGGTTTTTTTTTTTTCTGGAGTCACAGTATGGTGCATAGTGAGCCACCCAGCAGAGCAGCAGTCAAAGCATCTTCAGGGTCACTAAAAAGGGGGAGGAAGGACATTAAGTATGGAATAATTTGTATGTTGAGTGACCTTCTTACCTTTGTGCATTAAAGATTTAACACATCACTGTAGGGCTAATCATTTAAAAAAGCTCTTTTCAGGGCATTTTTAAGGATATAGCGCATTGCAGGGGAGTGTATAATATTTGTGGCTGATCAAATAGAAGGTAGGCCAAGAAACATCCATTTATAGTAAGTCTTGTATTATACAAGAAGAAGAAAATGCAACAACCCACATTAATAAAAAGAGGACATAAAAATATTGCTTTTCATGCCTACTAAAGCAGCAGTTATCAACAGGGGGTCAGCAAACCCTTTCAGAGGGCCTGCAGGGCCCCGTGGCTAAAATGTAGCTATATCTTGACTTTAGCAAAGCTTTTGATACCGTCTCCCACAGTATTCTTGCCAGCACGTTAACGTATGGATTGGATGAATGGACTATAAGATGGATAGAAAGCTTGCTAGATTGTCTGGTTCAACGGGTAGTGATCAATGGCTCGATGTCTAGTTGGCAGCCGGTATCAAGTGGAGTGCCCCAGGGCTTGGTCTTGGGGCCGGTTTTGTTCAACATCTCTATCAATGATCTGGCTGATGGGATTAATTACACCCTGAGCAAGTTCGCAGATGGACACTAAGCTGGGGGGAGAGGAAGATATGCTCGAGGGTAGGGATAGAGTCCAGAGTGACCTAGACAAATTGGAGGATTGGGCCAAAAGAAATCTGATGAGGTTCAACAAGGACAAGTGCAGAGTCCTGCACTTAAGGAAGGAAGAATTCCATGCACTGCTACAGGCTGGAAACAGTGTGTCTAAGCAGCAGTTCTGCAGAAAAGGACCTGGGGATTAGAGTGGACGAGAAGCTGGATATGAATCAGTAGTGTCCCCTCATTGCCAAGAAGGCCAACAGCATATTAGGCTGTATTAGTAGGAGCATTGCTAGCAGGTTGAGGGAAGTGATTATTCCCCTCTATTCGGCACTGGTGAGGCCACAGTTGGAGTATTGCGCCCAGTTTTGGTCCCCCCACTACAGAAGGAATGTGGACAAATTGGAGAGTCCAGCTGAGGGCAACAAAAATGATTAGGCGGCTGAAGCACATGACTTACGAGGAGAGGCTGAAGGAACTGGGGTTATTTAGTCTGCAGAAGAGAAGAGTGAAGGGGGATTTGATAGCAGCCTTCAACTACCTGAAGGGGGGTTCCAAAGAGGATGGAGCTAGGCTGCTCTCAGTGGTGGCAGATGACAGAACAAGAAGCAATGGTCTCAAGTTGTAGTGGAGGACGTCTAGGTTGGATATTAGGAAACACTATTTCACTAGAAGGGTGGTGAAGCACTGGAATGGGTTACCGAGGGAGGTGGTGGAATCTCCATCCTTAGAGGTTTTTAAGGCCTGGCTTGACAAAGCCTTGGCTGGGACTATTTAGTTGGTGTTTGTCCTGCTTTGAGCAGGGGATTGGACTAGATGACCTTCTGAGGTCTCTTCCAACCCTAATATTCCATGATTCTAAAACCCAGAGCCCGAGTCCCACCATCTCCTGCGGAGCTGAAGCCGGGAGCCGCAGGGTCAGAACCGGGGGGTTGAAGCCCCCATTCCCAGCACCCCCCACGGGGCAGAAGCCCTAAGCCCATGGGAAGAGTTGAGGGGGCACAGAGGTGTTCTCTTCCCCCCTTCTTCCCCCCCCCCCCCAAAGCTACAGTGCAAGAACAGGGCAGTCCCAGGGCAGCTTCACACACACACCCGTTGGCCAGGTTGGAGGCGGAAAGCCAGACCCAGGCAGTGAGGGACTGCTGGTGCTCTCTGGCTGGTACAATGGAGCAGGCAGCCACAGCGTTCCCTCGTCTCCTGCTGCTACTGATGCAGAGGGTTGAATCTGTTCCTCAGCTCCCAGCTTCCTTTGCTCATGCAGCTAGTAAGCGCCGCCTGGGTGGGGGGACCTGGTCCAAGGCTCACAGAGCCCTTGGGGAACAGGGACCCCTGGGAAGCCCTCCCCACACACAGCCCCATCCAACTCCCTCCCTGCAGCCTGAGCTACCCCTGCCTGCACACAGCACCTAGCTACGCCTCTGCATGCACCCTGAGCAACCCCTCTGTCTGCACACAGCCCCTAGCTAAGCTCTGGCCTGCACCCTGAGCTACGCCCCTGCCCGCACACCACCCTTAGCTACCCCTCTCCCTGCACCCTGAGCTGTTTTCAAACTTTTTGAGCTGAGCCCCCCCTCCTTTGAGTTATAATTTTTGGTTTTGCCCCCCACATACACACATACAACCCAGATAGGCGTGTGGCCTGCTGAGGTGAGGTGTGAGGTGGAGATGGATTGGCACTCCCTCCCTGGACCCCACCGTGTGGAGCTGGCTTGAGCCCCACTAGACTCTGACCACCCAAAACAGAAGTCAAACTACACCTATGCCCAAACCCCCTCCCTCACTGGGCCCTGGAGTTTTTATAGCATGTTGTGGGGGGCCTCAGAAAGAAAAAGGTTGAGAACCCCTGTAGTAAAGGTTTGAAAAATGTTCTGCTGTTACTTTATATTCTCCATTGCAGTCACTTTGGGAACAAAGTGACCCTCATGGATGTGTCATTTAAGGATTCTTTTGCTGTATGAGAAGCAGCTAATGTTTGATTTGTCTGTGCTGTAATCGGTTAAAATCCTTCTCTTGTCATATAACAAATATAGTGACTTACGGTACGGTCTGTACTGGTCTGCTGACCAAAGCAAAGTAATGTTAGTCACGATTAAATAAAGCACACTTATTCATATAATTGGTATTCATATTGTTTTACTCTCTACTACTTGAAATATATTTAAACATGGCTTTGTTTTCTAAAATCATTTCTAAAAGTGTTGGGCCCAATCCTGCTCCCAATTTTGCCATTGATTTATTGGGAATCAGGATTTGATCTCGTATGACAGAACATAACAGAATGGAAAAGGGGACAATACAATTTTGTGATATAACATTTCTCTAGTGAAGCAAAAAGTATGCTGCACTGGTGTTTCTGCTGTGGTCTAGCATCCAGGTTTTAACAGGTAACAGCTTGTAATATATCTTTCACATCACAAAAAATATGTCATACCTGTCATACATGCAAAACATATTGATCAGTAGATACCATAATGCAGTATTGCCAAGTTGTGTGCCTTGTGATTCCATATTTACAAATGTGGTATGAGAGCTGGAAAGGAATATGATACAGACTATGCTACTTGTACTGCAGTTTCAAAGATTATTTCTCACATAATAGTGATCACTTAGGACAATGCATCCTTTGATGACCAAGAGCAGGAGCAAGCTTGAAGATAGGCTTGTTGGGACTAGAAAGAAAAGAGCTTACTGAGTACATTTTGGAACTATATAAAGTTGTCATCTAAATGACTTATAATTTTAAATTAACTTTCTTTCTTAATATTGTAAGCCCTGCAGGTTGGTAAAGATTCTGTCTCTATAGCATTTCATGTACTGCTACATCACTTTAATTTTAAGAAGCTAAGCATTGAAAGTTTGAGATTTTTCTTATAAAAATGAAGTAAAAAAAATGTGAAAGCAGCTGAGTGCCAGAAGAGACTAGAAAAAAGAAAATAATTTTTTTAAAGAAAGAAAATTCAAGGTCATAGCTTTTAATGCCTGTTTAGCTTCTGCTGCTGCGGTATAGGGCATACTTTTGCTGCCGAAGGTCAAATCTTCCAAAGTATTATTTTTAGTAAAATTTAAAAGAAACATATCAATCACTGAAGCCAAGGCCAGGCAAATCTTAAGGAGAGAAGTACAAAGACAGTTGTTACACAACAGGGGAGAAATCCCGACCCCTGAAATACATGGTAGTTTTGTCATTGTCGTCAATAGATGTAGGATATCCTCTAGATACTCCGATGAAGTGAGCTGTAGCTCACGAAAGTTTATGCTCTAATAAATTTGTTAGTCTCTACTGTGCCACAAGAACTCCTTTTCTTTTTAATGTATACATGCATTCATGCACACACACACAGACGTTTGTGACTTGAGATCCTAAAATAGTGAATTACATGCTAACCTCAAAAATGTTTTTGAATGAATCACATTTCAAAACGTTCTTTTTCTCTCTGATCACATGCATTATTTGTCTGTCATTACTATATTGTAATTTACATTAAAACAAACTACCATAATTTCAATATTCAGAGCCAAATGTACAAATCCTTGTGCAACATATGAGCTACTCAAAAAGTGCAAATAAGCATATTAGTAAAACTCAACATTTGCATGCTGAGATCAGAAGAGTACAGGTTTTACACACGCAATTGCCTGACTCTGTGTGTGCAAAAATGCTAATATAAAGATGAACATACATTTTGTTTTACTCTCTCCCAGCAAAATGAGCTTTAAAATGAGTTGCCTAGATTTTCCATTTATGCATTTTTATTACTATTAAAATACAATTTACATTTTTAGTATGATATAGCAAAATAAGAAGGATTACAATGCATAGTGTACTTCTCTAACTCACCAAAAATGAACAGTTAATACCTGTGCTTCACTTTGATATTGGATATGAAGTGTATTTATAAACATAAAATAAACATGATAAGATATACTGAATGAATTTAAACTGGCAATAGATCTTCTCAACCATTTGGTGGTGCTAAATGCTCTGTTTAAGGTAAGAACAGAATAGATACAGTTGATTCAAAAGCATTCCTGGGTATAGTAAGTGTGCAGTTTTTTTTATTTTATTTCAAGGAAATAAGACCAATACGAGAATATTTGCATGTCATACAGATTAATGTAAAATTTCATTTAGAAATTGTCTGCTAAATATATTGTGGGTTTTTCCCCAAAATGTTAATATTCTGTGTAATTTGCTGCTAAGGTTCATGGAAGCTTCAGGTGAATCTTCAATTTATATTTGATCACATTTATTCACCATAGTACATACACAAATATTGTGGTAAAAATGAACTGTAGAGTTCAACTGTTTCTGTGAGCTTACCAGGTGGTATTAGACAAAA